CCCCCCAGCCAGCCGTCAGGCAACATTTTTCTGCCCCTTCTCCGCCACCCACCTCCCCCACCCCTGCGCAGCCCTCGCCCACAGCCCCAGGGTTCAGGGCTCCCTCTGCTGGCTTCTGGGAGGTGGGGGTCAGATGAGAGACCCTGGGGGTGAATCTGGGGAAATAGAGAGGAGCTGGCTGTGAGACCCTTCAGAGGAGACTGGCATCAAAAAGGGTCTGTGACCCCTTTGGTCTCAATGATCCACCCAGGAGTGTTTGCTGGGGAAGAGGAGGGGTCCTAGAGGGTGCTTCTGGTCCATAGGGCGAAGGAGACACTGAGAAATAAGGGCAGAAAGTTGGAGAAAAGAGGAACCCACAAACGTCGCCTGCACTCCTACTGTTTGCCCTGCACTGTGCAGGCCAAGAGACGAATAAGGATGTCAATGGTAGCCCACAGGCTTTTTCTATATGTCACCTGGGAAGTAGGCAGGTGTTATTATTTGTTCCCATTTTACAGTTGCAGAAAAAGGCTCAGAAGGTTAAGTCTCATCATCCATTCAACAGATAGTAAGTGCCAAGTTCACATTCTAGGGACTTGCTCAACATCATAGAACAAGCCAACAGCAGAGCCCAGATCCAAACACAGGATCTGGGTCCCCAAAGCCCTGAGTGTGTTCTGCTACTGACATTTCGCTTCCTCGCGAGATCTTTGTCTTTAACGAGTTTTCTATCTAATTGGAGAGATAAGACAAGAAAACATGACAAATAATTATGCCACTCGCAGGATAACAAGCACTCCCAAATGAGTGACAGGTGGCATGATGTAGAGGAGGGAGGAAGCCAGTGAAGGCTGAAGCCCAGAGGAGGAGGCTTAGGGTAAGCGGGATCTGAGGTGAGCTTAGATAGATACTGGGTAAGATTTTGATGACTTAGGAGTATAGAGGAGGTGGCCCTCCAGAAATTTAGTGGTATAATCTGAGATGCATGCAGCTGGCTGCTTACTCCAACCCTGATAGGAGTAAGGGCTATGTGGGGGATAGCATGCGAGGCCACTTGAGGTCTTTTGAAACCTCT